GGGGGGGGGGGGGGGGGAAGGGCCAAGCCACTGAGAGCTTTAAATTCTGCTCCTGAGCAGCTTCGTGGTTTGTGTGAACATACCTGCAATGTCCCAGAGCTGAAGTCGTACTGTCTCCGATTCTGACCACTGGACCACCTTCAGGGCAAAATCCACTAGAGAATCCCCCAAAAGAAAGGAAACTTAATTAGGGGCATTCTGCACCACGGGGCTTGTTTCTTCGCAGCCTCTCACCATTTCCCAGCTCAGGCCAACCCAGCAACCGCTTTCGCAGCCACGGCGGTTCGTACTGGACCATCACCCACACCAGCACAGACCAGACACAGAGCAGGAGGGTCTGCAAGTGCTGGGCCCTCTCCTCCAATGCAGAAAGCTGCAAAATAAGTGTTAAATCCAGAAGGCTCCACACACTGTCCGCTCCATACTCTGCAGAGAGGATGACCGCACGCACACAAAATGCCTTCAGATAAGCAGAAGTCAAGCACGCTATCAGCATCTCATCCCTCCCCGGGATGCTACGCTAGCCTTGTCCCTTCCTGAACTTCAGATTAGAGAGTTAAATAACGCAACGAATGGAGCGGCATTCCTCCCCGTCTTGCAAAGCCCAGCCTGGCAGGTCTGCTGTCGAAGCCCTTGCGAACGGCAGCAGAGATGCTGCTCTGCAATTCTTCGGGAAGCAGGACAGCAAGGTGGCATTTTTCCAGCAAACGCGGCGCTGGATGGACTCCACCCCCGCAAATCGCGGGGCTTTTCAGAACCCTGGACCACCAGGGTTTGTAACCACCCCATGCACAGCTACCTGTTTGCGGCAGGGAGCTCAGGCACTCATTCCTGATCCCTGGAATTCTAATACCAGCACTAGTGACACGAAGCAAGAGCTAAGGAAGCAGAAATTAAAATGCTCAGGAGTAAGAATTCCTGCAGCACGTAACCCTGAAAAACCACAGGCAAACGAAAGGATACTGGAAACCTTATTGCCTGGAGAGCTTTAAGGAAAGTTTCCCTCGCCCGACTCTAAATGCCAGTAAAATGCTGGATTTGCTGCTGTTGCCTGTCTTCGTTCTGTGCTGCCTAAACCGTTCAGCCGCTGGTGCGTGGAGCTCCGTGCCTCCCTCACACCCACCGCTTACCACCACCTGCATCAGGTGTTCACTGCAGGGGGAAAACTGCCCAGCTACGCTGCCAGCCACGCTCAGCAGGCCTGGAACTTGTTGAAGCCAGGAACTAATTAGAAAAAAAAAAAAGTAAAAAAAAGAAAAAGAAAAACGTCTGCAGCTCTTACCGCTGGGAGTGACAGCGCGGGCACAGCCCAAGCACTCCGCCCCAGTGGGATGTGGCCCTCCGGCGTTTTCAACATTCATCCCCTCTTGGTTCGTGAATAAGAAGATTTAAACAGCCGTGCTCTGCCCCCACTATTTTGGGTCCTCAGGAGATTTACTGGGTAAAGCCTTGGCACCTCCCGCTCCTTGTAGGTTATTCATTTACACTGATGTTAAACAAAGAGCAACTGATCCCGCTTAATCTTGGTCCCAAAGCTGTTGTTACAAAGCTGTTGTTTCCCCCATCACCTTTCCAGAGCACTGCCGATACCTTAGCGGAGGTTTCATGCTGTTAAATAAATGCCAAAACAACGCCGTTCTTGTTTTTGCTAGAAAGAGCCGAGGCTGTAATCTCACGCTCTCCAGGTTAAAACTCCCGGGGCTGGTTGTTCCCAGGGGAGGAGGGATGGGGCACCCCGAGCTCGCTGTGAAGAGTGACAGAAGCCACCGGTTTGTCACCGGGGGCTCGCTGAACACCGGCCGCGAGCACACCGGGAGCTGCCTCCGAGAGCCGCTACGGGAGCTGCAAAACGCAGTAACCCCCGAGGGGCGGTCGTTCCTTTCAGGAATTCTTGCTTCCACGGCCGCAGGGAAGGAGAGGAGCCAGTTTCCCATCACAGCCGACGAGCAAGGGCAGCTTAATAGCAATAAGAGCAAGAGCCACACAGGCGTTTTAAGCCGAACGAGGACCCCCCCGCGCGTTAGAAGGGAAGACAAGCTGCAAGCCAGACTGCCACGCTCAGTGCTTGGTTCGCAAACCGGACGACAGCCCCGTTAGCGAGGCAGCCGTCGGGGGCGGGCCCCCCCCCAGGCCCAACCCCGGCCGC